CCTCCAAGTCCACCCCACGMAGGTTAGGATTTGGATATGTGATGGAGGGAAAGCACCAACATTCAGCCCAGAGTGGGTTTCAGAGACCAGGCACACGTCTCCACCCCCGGGAAGTCCCTAGGTTTTCCAGCCCTGGCCCATGTCCAACGACCCCAGAGGGATACAGGCCCAGAGGAGCATCCGAGTCCAACTTGGCCAGGCACCTGGGTTGCGGGGCAGCACCTTTGGAAATGATGATCAGGTTCCCCCTCCTGAAATGAGCAAAGCCCCCCAGCCTGCCCTGGGAGGGGCTGCGAAGGGCCTCGTGGCCTGAACGTACCTGGGATCTGTGTCCTGAGGCAGACCCTGGTCCTGTCTGCCACCTGCCTGTAGGGACCAAGACTCCCTCTGCGTCTCAGTTTGGATCACAGAGATGACTTTTAAACTGTGTTTTACACTTAGGAGTCTCTATTAAAAAAAAAAAAAAAAGATGATTTCATTTGTTTCCTAGCCATAACAAATGACCACAAACTGGGTAGTTGATAACAACAAAATCGGATTCTCCACAGTTCTTGAGGGCCAGAAATTCAAAATCAAGGTGTCAGCAGGCCACCTGTCCTCCCTCCCWCAGCTCTCAGGGAGAGAACCCTGCCCCTTCCTTCCTGTTTCTGGTGCCCGGGACACTCCCCAACCTGCAGGCTGCATCACCCCGTTCAGCGTCCATCTGCAAGTAGCCTTCTCTGGTCTCTCCTCTGYGCCTCTTCCCACTGGTCCTTGGGTTTGGGTTCATCCTGGGTAATCCAGGATGATTCCGTCCTTAACTTAATCACATCTGTGAAGACCCTTTTTTACAAAGAAGTCTGAACTCACAGGCTCCTGTGATTAGGGCATAGGCATATCTTTTAGTGGTGGTGGGTGGGGGGCCCATTCAAATCCATCACAATGATCTCATTCCAAACCCTATTATGTTGTTCAGTGCACTGAGAATTGGAGTGAAACAAGAATGGAAGTAGGGGGTCTTCCCCCTCCCCTCTTCCTTCCCCACTTCAAGTCCTCTCCAAGGAAGCATTAGACAGCCAGTTCCCTTCTGCCACTGCCATCATGCCTGTCCTTGTCAACCTCCTGCCTGCCTTCTCGTGGCCTCCTGGGAGGTAGCTTTGCTCCCCACATGCCCCAGCAGAGTACAAATCAATTTCTGCCTGCTGTAGTCTGGGGCCTCCCAGCCCTTCCTGGCCCTTCCTGGCCACACACAGCTGCTTAGCTGGGTGGAGCTGGGAAGAAGCACCGCTCCCTATGCCCCCCACAACATAGAGCTGGACTTCCAAACCCTGGGGCTTCTACCTCTAGGCACGAACATGGCCGGGAATGGGGGTGACTTGTGCAGGGCAGTCAGCTCCATGCCTGGCCTCTAGCCAGTGGGCTAGGGGAAGTGAGCAGGCTTGGCCTTAGGGTTCTCTAAAGAAAGAGGGGCATAGCTGGGCGAATGTCTGTAATCCCAGCATCTTGGGAGGCCAAGGTAGGAGGATTGCATGTTCAAAGCCAGCCTCAGCAACTCAGTGAGGGCCTAAGCAACTCAGGGAGACCCTGTCTCTAAATAAAATATAAAAAGGGCTGGGGATGTGGCTTAGTGGTTAAGCACCCCTGGATTCAATTATCTGTACAAAAAAAAAAAAAAAGAGGACCACTGATTCCCACCCCCTAGAGGGCAGAGTTCACTGAACTGAGCCCATCACTTCTCCTTTCAAAACTGKTGTGCAGCCAGGTGTGGTGGAGGAGGCTGAGTCAGGAGTTCAAAACCAACCTCAGCAAYGGCAAGCTACTTAGCAACTCAGTGAGACCCTGTCTCTGAATAAAATACAAAAGAGGGCTGGGGATGTGGTTCAGTGATGGAGTGCCCCTGAGTTCAATCCCCAGTATCAAAAATAAAACAGGCAGGTGTGCTCTGTGACCTTGGATGGGTCACTGCACCCCCCAGAAACTCACTTAATGAAGATACCAACAGCATTTTCCTCAAAGGATTATTGGTGGGCTCCAGGAAGATAAGGATTATTTTAAAAACTTTTCCATGAAACCATTTGTCAGGTAACAGTAAACAGGACAGTCAGGCTACTTGTCCTGTGACAGCTCACCTCTTCATGCAGACCAGAGGAGCCAGAGCAGAGACAGGCAGAGCCTGGGGACTCTGCATGGGGGCTGCTGGGAAGGCAGGTGTGGACCAGAGAGCAGGATGAAAGGATGGGAAGGCGGCGGCTGACAGGAGGCATAGGGGGTGCTCCCCAAGGATGCACCCCAGGTACTCTCTTGCTGGCAGCCTGACTCCTAGCCCAGCAGCTTGTGTGTCCAAGAGAGGGAGCCCTCTCTTCCTCCCCTCTGCTTCTGCYTTTGTGCCCAGCCCTGGGCCTGGCACGAGGCCGTGGATGCAGGCTGAGCCCACGTGACAGAGGCTGATCAGCTTGGAGCCGATGCAGTCAACCAGAAGTGGCTAATTGCACAGATTAATTGAGCCAATTACCGCAGCCTCCCAGGAGGTCTGGGAGCAGGCCTGGCTCCTGGGGCCCAGGTGCAGGGCTGTAGGAAGGATTGAAGAAGGAGCCAGGCCCTCTCAGGGCAAGGCTGAGCTCTGCACCCCCAGCCCTGCCTGCCTACAGGAGCACAGGATGGAGGACTGGCCAATGCCCACTGGAGAAAGATGGGCGTGTGCTCCTGGGCAGGTCCAGGACAGTCAGGCCAGAAGGGGAGGCAGGGCTAGAGCAGGAAGGGGGTGCGCTGAGCGAATGAATGGTTTCACAGAGAAATGAATTGCCCTTTCTTGCCACACCTTCTGCTAATTTTGGAGTGTGAATGAAAGTGAGAGTGAGTGTGAAATGTGGATCATCCAGGCAAGCTTTTAGGATGCGTGGGAACCTTACCGCTGCTGTCCTTTATCTATCCTGGCCCGCTGCACAGCCTCTGTGGGAGGCCCGTGTCACGGTTATTGTTGTCATTTTACAGATGAGGGGACCGAGACGGATGCCACCCAACTGAGGCCACATGGCTGACAAGTGAAGGAGTCAGGATTTGAATCCGAGTCTTTCCAGGCTGCCAAAATTCTGTGGTACCCAGCCCCAGGTGTGCCTGGGCTTGGCATCAGGGAGTGTGACCCTAAGGATGGGTTTGTGTGAGTGCAGTAACCAGGGGGTGGAGGGGTGAGACCTGAGTGCCTGCTGGCCCAGCTCACAAGTGTACAAAGGTAGGGCTGACTGGAGTGTGTCTGCCCCCGCAGAAGTGCACTGCAGAAGATTGAGTTTTCCCCCTGCACGCYCTGCTCTCGCCTGGGATCAGAGTCTACCCTGGGGCCAAGGCCAGCTGAAGGCCAAGGACAGCCCATTGGCCAGAGGGAATGAAGGTCTAGGCCCCAGTGAGAGGTACAGGCCCCCCTCCCCGCCCCTCCTCTCCACTGTCACCACCACGCACAAGGCGTCCTGGCTTGCCCAGACCTGTGSAGCACATTCCCGCTCACCTGCTCCCTTCCAATTCTATCTCCATGCAGAGGGCAGGGRTGTTTATTTTTATTTTACAACTCTAATCACAATGCATTTTTGTCTTGTTTTGTTTGTGCAAATGTAGACTCTCTATACTATACTCATTCCAAGATGAAATTTTTCCCAAAATCAACKTTATCAAAATAATTTACRTAAAACAAAATGCACCCATTTTAAGCGTAGAGATAATTGCTTCTGACAGATGTATGCACCTGTGTAGCTGCTGTTCCTTCCTAACACTTCCAACACCTCAGAGAGTTACCTCATAGCTCTCCCTGGTCAACCCGCCTCCTGCCCCAGGACATGGCTGATCTGATTTCTATCACTATAAACTAGTTTTGCCTTTCGAGAACTTCATATAGATGGGATTATGCAGCCAGTATTCTTTGTGGCTGGCTCCTTGCAYTCAGCATAACATTTGGGAGTTCCTCCACATTGCTGCCTGGATTGTATATGTATGTGGTCTGTTCCTTTTTATTGTTCTAGAGTTTTCCACTGCAAGCATTTACTGGTTTGTTTATTCACCCGTTAGGTGGTGTCTGGGTTGCTTCCAGTTTGAGGCCATATGAATAATGCTGCTGTGAACATTTTGTATACACCTCCTTTTACATATATCTTTATTTCCTTGCAGGAAGTCCTTTGGAGTACAATTGCTGGATGTCCTTCCAAGTGCCAAACTTCTTTTGAACCTTTGCATTTGCTGGTTCCTCTTCTGAGGATGTTTACTCCAACTCTCCTGTTCCTCAGGACTCATTGTAGCTTTCAGTTCTTTGCAGGYGGTGAGGGGGTGTCCTAACCATCCCCATCTCCATGTAAATGTGCAATTTCTCCTGCCTTCTCAAAGCTCCCCGTGCTTTCTTCCTTGTAATTCAGGTCACAGGGTTAATTGCATGGTGGCCTGTGTGGTTCATGTTTCATGTTCCTCTGCTTTGCTCAACTACAGGCCCTGTGAGTTCAGGAGTCACACCCCSCACCTCCAGAGTACCTAGCACAATCCCGGGCACAGGAAAACCTGGGAGGGATTTTCAGAGACTAAATGAAGGTGGCTGAGCCCYGAGCCTCACAGTTCCAGGTTGGGCTCCCGATGCCTGCTAGGGAATCTGGGAGCCCACAACTTGCAGAAACCCARGCAGTGATTCTACCCCAGATCCTATGACAGAGAGAGGGAGGGAGGCCGAGAAGGCCGGAGAGGGAAGAGGATGAGTCATCTTCAGGCACAYATGGCAGGGGAAGAGGAAAATGCAACTCAGCAGCTTCCTGACCTTTTGCTCATGTGGGGGACAAATACTCCAGCCCCAGTGAACAGGGGTGGCAAGCAGGTACTCTCAGAGCCAGGGAAAGCACTCACCAGGCCATAAGCAATAACTGGAGAGATTTCTCAGGCTCAGAGGGAAGATATATCCCCCTCCCCACACCCAGCCTCTGCCACTGTCATTGTTAAAAAGTTCCCCTGCTGTGGCTGTCCCCACACCCCCACCCTTCTCCCTACCCCCACCCTCACCCAAGAGGCTGTGTGCAGCTCTAAGGAAAAACTGCCCAAAGAGAGGACGGTGTCTTGCCCAGGACAATACAAAAGCAGCAGAAACTTCCTTCTCAAAAAGCAAAGGGCAGGGTGACCCAGGTCAGGGGACTTGGACTTCATGACCTCATCCAAAACGACTAGGGTGAGGCCTGAGGGAAAGTCTCAGAAATCCTCCTTTACACCTGTAAGGAGTGACGGTGGGGGACGAACAGGAACAGATGGTAAGTAGAGGAGGGTCTGCAGAGGGGTGGGTCATGCTCGTCTCTAAGAGGACAACGGAGGCAGCTGTGGCCCCAGCACACCGGGCTCTGGGCGGCTCTGGCAGCCTGACTCTCCAGCAACTCTCCAGGCCTAAACAGCCGACCTGGAGGGGAGAGGCCATTGCTCAGCCGAATGGGGAAAGAGTCAAAGGCCTTGCAAAGCCACAAGTGCTAATGGATGCAGACCTCCCTGGGGGACCATCACCCAGCACTCATCTATGGCAAATCTGCTTTTAACAGCTCACTGACCAGCTCTCCTCCTGTCGGTATGGAACTGCTCTGCCTTCACATGGGACATGGCTTATTAATCCTGAGAGCCTCAGCTCATTGCCACTCAGACCCCTTACTCTCACCCCAGCCCCACCCCAGAATGCCCCCATGAGAGGACGGATTCAGCTGGGCCCTGCCTACAGGGATTTACTCAAGATCCTCCCCCCCCCCCTCAGGATCTTGATCTTCTGAGCAGCTGAGACTTTCAAGGTGCAGCCAGAAGAACTCAGAGCCAGAACCAGGGACAATCTCTGACTCTGTGGGTCTCTCTCTGGTTTCTTCAGGGAGGAGCCAGTGGAGCCAGGGCCTGGGTCGGGAACGAAGGCCACGCCTGGGACTGAAGAAGACATGGACATGGAGCGTCAGTTCACCTCCCAGAGCCCTGGTTTCCAAATCCTAAAGTAGGAGACAGAAATAATTACAGGGCAGCAATACCTTGTCAGGATTAAATACAGTAATGGATGCAAAGCTTTGGTGCAGAGTTAGCAATCACAAAATGCTAGCTTATTTTATGAATAAACTTTAAATTCTGGAACAGTTTGTTTTTAACCCTCACACTTGTCAAGTGTTTTTGTAGTTCCTATAACACTTTCTCATTTATTTATTTATTTATTTATTTATTTTTGCTCCGTGCCGTGATCCTATGTGAACACAGGACAAATACTACTGGCCCCCTTTTACAGATGAGATGACCCAGGCCCAGCAGGCTAGAAGAAATTGTGCAATTTTCACAAGACCTAGTGAGTAGCAAGACCAGGATTAAAACCTCTGGACTTGAATCCTGGATTTTTCTGCATGAGACTTGCAGCTGGATACAAATCCCTGCTTACTGGGCTCCACAGGGTTCGGCATATGACCCAGTCGTTCAAGGAACTTGAAAGGCTTTGTGGAAGCTTCAAGAGCAAGAAGAGTTTGGGGTGACATGATGAAGCCTTCGGATAATGCACATGCCTCAGGGTTGGGGCTMGGGGCTCAGGCTATAGCCAGCTGGGGAAAAGAGCTTTGCTTACAAGATAATAATAATAATAATAAGGGGGGGGCGTGCATTGTGAAAATTGAAGGGAGACCACTTCAGTAGAATAAGGGAACCAGATGAAGGAAAGAAGGGAGAGAAAGCAGAGGTCACTTGGCTGAACTGTTCTGTGCACGTATGAAAGTGTCACAATGAACCCCACTATTATGTGTAATTATAATGTCCCAATAAAAAAATTAAAAAACAAGAGTTTTTTTTTTTTTCCTAAAAGTGGTTAGAATGGGGGTTCCAAAGGCCAGAGAAGGGGAGGATAACACCCATCAGAGAAAGGGGGTAACACTCAGCCCTCCTCCCAGACTCCCAGGTGAGAGGCCCCCACACAGCACATGAATGGCGCATGGACCCGAGTGACAATGGGCATTGGTCCTTCTCCTAGCCAAGTTGGAAAATGAGTTAAAACTCTTCACACAAAACATCAAACTCCTGAGGATGACAAAGAGGCACAGGGGTGCATTACTTGTCTATCTAGTTGTGAAACAAGTTCTCCCCAAACTTACTTACTGGCTTAACACAGCAGTAGTCACTATCTCACAGTCTGCGTGGGTCACGAGGTTGTGAGAGAACATGGGCTGGGTGGCTCTGGCTTGGATCCTCTCTGTGGTTACAGTCGAGACTAGGCAGGGGGCAGTCATCTGAAGGCTCGACTGGGTCAGGAGGAGCCACCTCCAAGATGCTGCTCTCACATGGCTGTGGGCGGGTGGCCTCAGTTCCTCACACATGGGCGTCCCYATAGTGTTCCTGGAGTGGCTTCATGACGGGGCAGCTGCTTCCTCTCCAGCAGGAAGAAAGCCACCATGCTCTGAATGGACCTAGTCTCAGAAGTCACAGGCCATCACTTCTGCCTTGTTGCTATTTGTTAGAAGCAAATCTCTGAGTCCAGCCCATACTTAAAGGAGGTGAATTAGACTCCACCTTTTAAAGGGAACTTCAAAGAATCTGTAGACATAGATTGAACCTCCACAAAAGGGCAGTATGCTCAGAGCAGACCCAGGAGACCACCTGCTGGTCAGGATCAGTGTGCTAGCGGCCCTCCCAACAGCGCAACGGAGACCCTGTCACACACCAGTTAGGGTCCTGACTCCTGCCCACATCTTCATGTAACTTGGGCTCCCCTGAGTCAGAAAGATCAGACGCCCCCAGGTAGGAGGTGAGATGAAGGAGGGAGATATTGTCAGGGAGGTGCCAGGACCTGGTGGAGGTGGCCTTCATTCAAGCCTGAATGCGTGGTGGGAAGAGAGGTTGGGGTACTGCWCGCTCCTTCTACTAGCCAAATTGGAAAATGAGTTAAAACTCTTCACACAAAATGTCAAACTCCTGAGGATAACAAAGAGGCACAGGAGTGCATTACTTACCTATCTAGTTGTGAAACAAGTTATCCCCAAACTCTGAGCTACTCTACCTGCACCAGAGCAGGAGGGGACTCCATGTCTGCCCGGCACACGGTACAGGAACATGTTTGTGTGCACATTTGATGATACTCATAGGTCTGGAAAGGAAAGTGCCTGCTATGGTTTGAATGTTGGTCCCCCCCTAAACTCATGCTAAGGTTTCTTTAATCGCCATTGTAACAGGATGAAGCAGTAGGGCCTGCAAGAGGTAATTAGGCCATAAGGCCTAYTCCCTCATGGGTGGATTTAATGTCTTAATAAAAGAACTCTTGGAATGAGCTCCTTCTCTTGCCCTTCCACCTCCTACCAGGGATACTGTAGCAAGAAGGGCCTTAACAGATGCTGTCCTGATGATCTTGGGCTGCTCAGACTCYAGAATCATGAGATAGAAACATCTGTTCTTGACATATTTCCCAGCCTCAGGTATTCTGTTACAGCAACACAAAAAGGACTTAGGCACTGCCTTCCCAGGATCCTAACTGGCCTGGGAGCAAAACTAAGGCCATAGAGATGAGACCCACCTGCCCAGGCTCCCCCTCAGGCACAGCTATCCACTCCCAACCTGAAGAAGGCAGCATCCAGTACCACCTACCCTCGATCCAGCAGGAGATAAATTCATTGGCTGACCAAGAGCCACTCGGATAATCTGTCTTAAGATTTTGGAACTCAGGGGCCCAGAGCCTGGGCCTCCATCTGGGGCAGGGCCTGAAGCTGAGGTCAGGCAGTCAGGGCAGGCTGGGGGAGCTGGAGAATCTATTTTAGGAGCATGTGTTGATGAGCAAGCGAAGCTGATCCGCAGAGCCAGGCAGGAAAATGGAGCTGAGGGAGCGGYAGGGACAGGCCTGATGGCGTTGGAGTGGGAAGAGGTGGGGTAGAACCCTGGGGCCTGGGAGCTTCGTAGCTCTCCTGGGTCCTGGAGGCTCTTCCCAGGCCCCACAGGGCACTCCAGCCTCCTTGCCGGGCATCCCTGTTCCCTAAGCAGGTGTGAGGAGGGTTCTGTTCTGGGCAGTCAGAGCTCCATGCCTCAGACCTGAAAGAGGTGGAGGGGACAASGGGGCCCTGGGCTCTGCAGCTCCACCAAGGAGGACCTTCAGTAAAACTGACCATACCCACCCTCCTCACACCCAGGGAACCCAGAGAAACAAAATGTGGCACTCACTTAACTCTCCCCTGGGGTCTGTCCGTGCATCTTCCTTCCTTCTTATTCTCCCTGGGGCTGAGTCCAGCAGCAACGAGGAAAAAAAGGCAGATAATACTCTCCAGCCCCTCGGGACAGAGGTGAGCAGAGAGAAGAGGTTTCCAGAAAGGGCAGCCCTCCATACGTAGCCTGGTGTGCGCCGTGGCTGGGCGGTGAGGTCAGCAGCCAGCCAGAGGACAGGGACGCGTCAGCCCCACCTGCCTCACACCCCTGCATCACTGGGCCTTAAGTCCGTGAGGACTCCTACACAGTAACCAGGCCAGCTCAGAAGGTGGACGTTGGGAATGTTCATTGATTCATTCAGTAGACATTGGAGCCCTTACGTATACACTAGGCCCACCCTTGGAACCAACTCAGCCCCGTCCTCAGGAGCTCACGGTCAGTGGGCATGACAGGATGTGGAGAGCAGCCGCTAAAGGACACGCGGGAGGGAGGCTTTAGTCACGCATGGGAGGCCAGGGGGAGCCAGGCCTGGAGGAAGGTGCGGGATGTCAGTGGGAGAGAAGGGCACCCTACCTGAGTGAGCAGAGGGACAAACACCCACCGAGGGCCTTGGAGGCTGGGGGGTCTAGTGCATCATTAGCTCAGAATCCCCTTCCTTTCCCTGGGCCTCAGTGTCCACTTAGCTGCTCTCAGGATGACCTAGCGGCCCTGGCACTCCAGAGCCTAGGGTGGCAGGCTGTCGGCTAGGGCCGAAGGTCAGGGAGTGGAGTTTGTAGCGTTTTAGGTCACTCAGTGTTTTCCCAAACAGCTCTCCTGGGCCAGATGGGCAAGGGCCCTAGGCCAGGCCAGGGGAGCCCTGTATGGTCAGACACCATCTCATCTCTCTGTCCATGAAGTCAATGATCATCCAACAGGGGCTGGGTCCTGGGTGTCAGCCCCCCAGGCAGGGCCCAGGGTGAAGCCCAGCATACACAGAGCTAGAGAACCTGAAATACCTTGGGGCGTCCCTGAGTGCCCTTGAGGAGGACGTCAGTATCTCCAACCTGCCCAGGGGGGTTATCCACATGGATTTTAATTAAAAAGACCYTAGTGGGCTGCTTTACCAGGCAACAACCTAGCAACCAGGTTACCAGGACAAGTTTTACTTTCCTTTTCCAGAGCCCCCTTCTCCAGCAAAAGGGCCCATGAGCTTGGTGCTTAAATTCATCTATAGTCTCTCTGAAATGGTTTGCCTTCAGCCTCCCATAGATTGACCACCTGAAAGAGGCAGGATGACCCTGGGACTTGTACCATGAACACAGAACAGCCCAATGTGACTGCTCACTGAGGGTACTGGAAGGGAAATCAGACTAAACCTGCTAAGGTCAGATAATGAAAGGTCTTACATGATGAGCCAAGGAGTTGGGTTTAGAAATGGAGGAGTGACTAGCAGGAGTTGTTTTTAAAAATATCCAACAGCAATGACCTATATGRATAGGTACTGGGGGCAGGAAGGGGCTTCCAGCAGCCAGGGGAACACTCAGGCAGGGCCCTGAGCCCTGAGCAGAGGAAGAGGGACCAGAAAGGAGCAGGTGGGTGAGAGAGATCATGCAGGAAGTGACCCCTACAGGATTTGACCAGGACAGAAAGTGGGAATTGAGGGAGAAAAGGCACACAGAAGACTGGGAATGTTCCAGATTTCTCTCCACAGCAAACCACATACCTAAAGTCCCAAGATGTCATGAGACTATGTCCAATAGCGCATGCACACGTACCTAGGAGTAGGAGTCCCAACATCCAGAAAGTCCCCACATGCCAGCAGGTCCCCACATATGGGATAGCTACTCATATGATTCTTACCCAAATGCTTGCAAAGGACCCTGGAGTGACAGGGCTTCCCTGCCCCTCAGCTTCCAGGGTCTCCCCAAGCCACTCAGCAGGAAGGCAGTAAAGAGCCAGGGGGCTGGGCGAAGGGGAGGCCAATGCCTCTACTCTCATCAGAAGCCTCGCTGGTATTTTTAGCGCCGCAATCAAGAGCAGGGCCCGCCTCTGGATCAGCTCAGGCAGCCTGGGCCGAGCAGAGCTGTTAAAAATGGAATGAACGCCACGCGCTGCAATCAGTGGTGGCGGGCATGGGGCCCCAGGCAGGGCAGCAGCTGTGGTTACAGAAGCTCTTGGCCCTCAAGTCTGGCAGAGGAAAGGGGCATCAGGCTCCCCAGAGCATGCCAGGCTCTGGGGGCTGCTGTCCCCTAGCCATGATGCCCAGAAGCCACCACCATGCATGGGAGGATCCTGCACACTGTCCTGCAGGCCACTCCATGACGGTCGGCTCTGGGGGCCTTGGCGGGGAAGGGCAGGGAGTAGAGGCCAGGTGGTTGGAGTACCACCACGGAGGCAGGTTGGGTAGAGCAGGACATGGAAGGCCCCAGCGTACTGCTGAACAGGGGAATCCGCTGTTGGCACCTCCTCTGCTCCCCACTTTCTGTCCTGGAGGGAAGCAGAGAGGCACTGAAAGCCCCCTGCCAGGAGCTTGTTCCTTCTGGAGTGTGAAGGCACAGGAACTGCCCAGGACAGTGGCAAGCTTACTGGGCAGGGACCCAGGAGGCCTAGGTCCGAGCCATTTCTGCCACTCTGTGACAGCTTTGGAGCCTCGGGCAAGTCGTTTCCCCTCTCTGGCCTCCACGGCTTTGTCTATAAAATGACAAGGCCAGAGCAGAGCACAGACGTGACAGATTCTCCAAGCCAGTGACGGGCTGAGCACGGAGTGATGGACACTTCAGGGGCCTCCATCCCAGAGCAGAGCGCTCCCCGCCAGGGGCGGAGCCTGGCGCTGCAACGGCACAGCCCTTCTGCCCCACCTAGARCAGGAGCCTTGGAGGCTCTCCAAGGACAGGCTGATGTGGGGTGGTCCTGTCATCCTCCCACCCAACCAGGAGCTGAGAAGGCTCCGCACAGTGGGGAGAGGAACAGAGAGAGCCGGGTCAGCTTCCTTGGTCCTTCAAGTGTTCCTTTTATCAGGGCCTTCCTCCAGGGCCCTGGTCCACCCCAGCTGAGCCCTCAGCCTCACAGCAAGCTGTGGGTCTCTGCAGCTGGCCACCGTGTCGCCTGTGGGAGGGTGGGAGCTGGTGGTATTTATTGAATTTGTGTTCGAGCATAAATCTGTGTTGACTTGCCTCAGCCGCGCTGAGCAGCAGACGAGCTATCTTAGGAAGCAGGCTTTGTTGCCTGTCCCAAAGCCTCCTCATGCCCCAGTGGGACAGACTCTGCCTGTCATCTGGGTGTCTCGCCTGAGGATGCACCTTGAGAGGTTAATCCTTCCATCCCCCGTCTTGCTCCACTCCTCTGGCCACAAGCCATGCCAAGTCAGCGTCTTCTCCAGGACATGCCCCAGACAAGTGTGCTCCACATCTGGCTGGGCCTGCAGATGTTCAGCAGCTGGAAGCCCCCTAGCCAAGCTTGGAAGCCCCCTGCTGTCTTCCCTGCCAGAGCCAGGCTGAGCCAGTGATCCTGGAGCCAAGGGCAAGGGAAGTGCTAAGCTCATGCGACCTGTCTGGCTGCCCTGCAGGCACCATGTCCTTCCACCTGGAAGGCAGGTGAGGCACCGTGTTGTCACCCACACTCAAGAGTGTGCAGACTAGAGCACTCCGAGGCTGGCATATGGCAGAGGCACACGCGTCACCATGGGGTGGGTAGGGGACGCATCTAGTGTTTCCTCAACACCTCAGAAGGCGGGATGGGAATCTGTGTCTGACAGCTGCAGGCTCCGTGGCTCACTGAAGGCTGAGTCGCACACCTAGTGCTTCAGATGGCTGGCCAACATGGGGGTGTGCAGTGGGGACTCTGTGGCTGCTTCTGCCACCTCCGCTCAGCCTGGGAGATCCGAACCCACCTCAAAAAGCAGAGGTCCCCCCACACCTGAGCTGGCCAGCTAGGTGGTGGTGGACTTGGCTCTTTGTGAGTTTGGGAAGGCTCTCTGCTGAGGGCTCAGAGCCCCCCAGAAGCTGCGGGCTATGGACGACAGAGACAGGGGCTGGTGGAGACTGCAGAGGAGAGAAAGGGGAATATTTGAAGTCAAGAAAGAGGACCGGAGTTGTCTGGGAACAATGTACCCCAAGAATCAGGAGGAACTTCTTCACTCCAAGCCAGGGAAGCACTCAGAAGGGAAAGTCCCAGGAGGGCAGAGGAGGGCCCTGGGGGTCGGGGTGACAAGAAGTGAGAAGTAGGGAGTGGGAAGGAGAAGGGTGGTGATGCTACTGGACCCTTCTTTTTTATGACAACATTTAAACCACTAAACGCTATGACCTGCTGGGAGCCAAATGTTTGGGTCCATCTCCCCAGAGTCATGTGTTGAAACCTAACTGTCAATGTGTCARTTTTAGTAGGTGGAGACTATAGGAGGTGACTCAGTTGTGAGGGTGGAGCCTTTATGAGTGCCATCAGTGCCTTTATCAAAAGAGAGAGAGAGAGAGAGAGCTTCTTCACCCCTTCCACCATATGAGCATGCTGAGAGCCATTAGCCAAGTAGGTATGACAATTTCCTTGCCGGCGTACTCCATGCTGCTTAGAGGAAGGACTCGTGGAAATGGACTTGCCTTGGACATTCGCAGTGACATTGCATGTATGCTTGAGTAAGGTGACCTTGCTCAAGGACCAGGGCGGATCCGGGTTTAGGGCGGATCAGGTTTTAGGGAGTATCCCGCTCCTTGGGTTTAGGGCGGTTCCAGGTTTAAGGTGTACCCTACCGGGAATAGGGCGTATCCTGCTGATTAGAGCCTGGTGGAGTACGTGAATTTTGTGACAGAACGTGAATTTCCCCAGAACGTGTTTGTAGAGGGCCGGTGTGAGTTCGGGAATAAAGAGTTGCTGTTTGAATCTACAAGGTGTGTGGTGGCTCGTGATTTTGTGCCCAGCCAGACTGCGGCATGAGCACATAGCAAGAATAAAGCTGTCTAAATAAGCCAGTCCCAAGAAACCACAGGCCAACTGTTCTCTCTGATATACAGATGCTGACTCACAATAAGGAGGGGGGGATAGAAGGTCAGTGGATCAGACAAAGGGGGATGAAGGGAAGGGAGTGGAGATGGGAATAGGAAATAGAATGAATGGGACATAACTTTCCTCTGTTCATGTATGAACACATGACCAGTGAAACTCCGCATCATGGACAACCGCAAGAATGGGATCCTAATTAGAATAAGTTATACTCCGTGTATGTATAATGTGTCTAAACGCACCCTACCGTCATGTACATCCACAAAGAACAAATGAAAAAGTGAATTAAGCCAACCGTGAACCCTGAAACTGGCCCTCATCAGACTCTAAGTTTCCTGGCAACTTGAACTTGGACCTCCCAGCCTCCAGAACTATATAAGAAATAAATTCCTGTTGTTGATAAGCCACCCATCTATTTATAATCTATTCAGAAATGGATTCAGACATTTCTCCACCTAAAGGGAAATGAACTACCATCTCTACCGATGAGAAAACTAAGGCTTGGAAGTTGAGTGACCTGGCCATCCTCACACAGCGGGTTCTCGGGCTCAGTGTACACCTCACTCGGAGTTTGCACATGAAACCACCAATCCCCTCACTGTCAGTCAGTTCTTTGTGTTTTCCCTGAGAGTCCTGAACAGAGAGACCTGCATAGCCAAGACGCACAGAGAGCAGGAAAGACAGTCCTGTGTTTGGGTGTTGAAGGAACCCAACTCAGCAGTCTTTTCTTTTCAATGAAATGCCCAGAGAATGGCAGCCCTTCCACCACTAGCCCTCAGTGTTAAGGCTCCTTTCCAGACTTTCTGCAGATGGACATTTGGAGCCGTCTCTAGGGAGAGTCTCTAAGATGAACTCCATCCAGTGTTGATCTTGTTCATGGCAGAGCTAGGGGTGGAGATCCAGCTCTGTAAGCTGAGCCCCCTCCCCTCCCCCAGCCTGGGCTTCTTCACCTACAAAGTGAGGGGATTGGACTAGAAGACCCCTGAGGTCCTTCCCAGCTCTGGTTCTATGATTCTAGAAAGGCAGAGGCAATGGTCAGGCCCTCCACCTCCCAACCTAGTCCTTGCTGCTCTCACTCAGATTTTCTCAGCCTCCCTCCTGTCCCTGGGGTCTCTGCCCCTCTCCATGGCATCCCTGCAGCTGAGCAGCCTGGGTCGGGAAGTGTTCCGTGGACTCAAGGGAGACAGGCAGACAGGGTGCCTGAAACTCAGAGCTAACTAGTCATAAGGCTAGCAGAGGGGACCGAGGTGCCCCAGTGCTGTGCGGAAACACAGGAAGAGAGGAGGGGCCAGTCCACTGCCCTCAAGAGCTCCCTGCCCAATGGTGAACACAGAGCMACCCAGAAACCTGGAGGAAGCTCGGACATGCCACAAACCCAGAGAAGAGGCCCAGCAGCTGGAGTGGAAGGAGGCAGAGAAGTAGGACAGGCCACATGGACATCTGCCATAGACTGGAGGGGACAAGCCRTTCTCAGGAGCTCCACAAGTGACATAAAACTTCCTGGCAAATGCTTCTGAAAAGYGGAAAAACTTAGGCCACCAAGGCCAAGGCAGGTATAAAGCCTGGTCCATCTTCTTGGCATCGTGCCATCTCAGAGACCCCTGTGCCACAGTCATGGTGAGCATGTGGGATCAACACAGTGGCCCATTGGCCYGACCCTCAAATGCTCCTGAGTAGAGAAACACCATCTGTGGCCAACAAGAGAACTCAGACCTCAAAAAGATCTGGACAGCTGGGGCAGTGGAGTCACAGACAGCAGAAAGAAGGAGAAAGGGAGAATTCTACTCCGAGAGCCAAAGTCTGRATGCACAAGTACAGGATGAGGTAGAGACCATTTCTCAGCAGCACATGAAAAATAGGCTCAAGATTCAGTGGAAGACCAACACTGATGCTAAGAACATAATGAGGCCACTGGTGTATACACTAAGCATCTGGAGTTGGCTGTGCTCATGGAACAGTGGTCAATGGAGCGATGACAAGGTCTCATGCTCCTGAAGTCCTGTGCTCAGTG